AAACACAAATGAAAAAAAAAAACTGTCAGAAACTCATGAATCAAAGTATTTTTGATTGAAGTTTTCAAATATCTCTAATACACCAATTGTTTTTATCCATATGTAACTTTAGCATTAACATTCTTAGTCAGTTTTAAACTTAATTTAATTTCTGTAAATCTTCTAACAACCCAACATTTGGAGGTTTAGGACCCACAGTGAGGTCTTAACCCCAACTTACTGTAGATAAAACCTAAAGAGTCTGTGACATTAAATGTTTGTAAGAAAACTGAATGCATTTTTGGAAAGACAACATTTTACAATTCAAAAATAGTGAAAGGGCTGAACTCTACAGAGGGAAGTCTCACCAGAGAGTGTGAGCTCACTCAGGTTGTGTTGGCTGTGAGTCCCAGGGGCCGACAGCAGAGCCACAGAAGAGTCTGACATGTTCTTGCAGTGAGCCAGGTCCAGTTTCTCCAGATGGGGCATGTGGCGCTGCAGGAGCCTCAGGGTGGACTCGCTGATATCCAGACCGGACAGATGCAGCGTCACCATGTTCCGCAGGCGACTGCGGGTCGAGCCCACACCTGCAGACACACAAAGGAGAGCATGACACAAACACACCTCATGCTTTGATCAGCTGTGTCTCAGCCAGCGTCGGCTGCAGCGCCTGTCCCTTCAGGTGGTTTTCACCAGAAGACTTCACAAAATTCAGGATTATTACAAGAATATTACCAAAGAATAACTGTATTTAAATGAAAACAATAACTGTATTTAAATGAAAACAATAACTGTATTTAAATGAAAACAATAACTGTAATTAAATGAAACAATAACCCTGTTATTGTCATTTCTGTGTTTTTCACATCAGTGGCTGTGGCGGCCATGTTGAATGCAGTGAGTGCTTTGAGAGTGTGGTGACTGATGAAGGTCCAACAATCTGCTGGCTTCCTTAGATTGTTTTTGTGTAGTGTCCTGAGACGACACTAGTTGTGCTGCTTTATAAACAACCTGAACAGGCAGACAAACAAAGACAGGTAAAACATGAAGCGAGCTCGTTTACACACCAGGTGGACTGATGATTTCTTTGATCTGGGCATCGTTGATGCCCTCACACCAGCGCAGATCCAACAGACGCAGATGAGGCAGAGTGGGAGAAACCAGAGCAGACAGACAGGACCATGGCAGACCAGTCACTCTCAGCTCCCTCAGACCTGAAGACACACACAGAACCAGGAGAGGCTGATGAAGCAGAAGATCTGTGACCTCCATCACACCTGGTACTTCCATCTGTCTGAACTGGACTGCATCAAGAGAACTTTAACTACCATCCCTTCATGTCAGAGGCTCTAAACTCATTGTACAGATTAAATAATTGTAAATAAAATGTTCATTTCTAGTAGTTGGTTGAAAAGCCTTTGTGGCTGCCTGAAGTCTTGAACTCATGGACATCACCAGAACAGGAATCTAAGTTATTAATGACTTAATCTAAAGTTGATTGATCTTATCAATTAACTTTAGGTTAATAAGTAAATGTTAAATAGACTGAACTTATACATCACTTGATCAAGTCCCTCCAGACTCCAAAGCACTTTCCAGGCGTCAGGAGGGTTTTTATATTTCTGTCTCAAGATGAACCTGACGGTGGACTGAGGTGTTTTTTTCTCCACAGGACAGGGTTTCCTGCTCACAACCTGATGCTACCTGATCAGTTCAAACCATCATTGTTGGTAAACTCAAATCCAGACAGAATCAGCTGCTGTACAGGTCCTGCTGGACTCAAACATGGAGCTGAGCTGCTCTGTCTCACAC